AAAAGAGGGACGAAAGATACCAGAGGGACAGTCAAACTCCTAGATCAGGAACAAGCTGACAACGCCATGACCAAAAATAAAAAGACAAACAAACAAATACTAGTACAGATGACACAACATAGAAAACTAAAGACTAAGCAACACGAACCCCACCAAAAATTTGGGGTGATCTCAGGTGCTCTGGAAGGGTAAGCAGATCCTGCCTCACATGTGGCACCCGTCGTGTTGCTTATGTTATTACAAATCCGGTAAATAGTCTAATTCGGTATAAAATACACTCGGACTTTTAACCTGAAAATCTTGTTTTGTTCAAGTTTCATAGCATTCTGAAGCGTACACAACATGTTTGGATATCTAATGCTATGATTCGACGCCGGAATAAGAACTATGAGATCATACTGGTATGTGGAAAGTAGATCAGTTGCGGATTTGCTCTATCTAACACAAAGAGAGTATTAACCATGATATGAATAGGTTTAGCAATTCGAAAGAAATGAATATCTCTGGCTATTTAATTTAGATAGTAATAACAAACAAGCCTAAGGCTCGTTTATTTTTTAATTGAAATTTAAAAAAACTCGAATTGATAACAAGCGGTCTCCAATTTTTACTTAATGAAACCTATAAACACGATAAATCAATCTAAAATATAAGTTATTCTGTATACAACTGCACCCACAACCCCCGATTATATGCAAGGCTTGCTGGGCATAAAAGACGATTTGTGATAATGATAACACAATAATTGTATGTACTATGTTACCTCATTAAACCACACCACGTTAATTAGGTAATAAGGCATATGACAAAATAAACCCCATAAAAACAATTTCTCTCAATTGAATGAAAACATTTTACCCTTCATGAATCATTTGGAATTAGTTTTCCCGATTTTGCACGTCTCAAACCCTCAGAGAGGGGTTATGTTCCAAACAAATGGAGCAAAAAGTAAGACAACCAAAAAACAAAAACAGTATCTCATCACCATAAACAATGCATGTGTGTTTGTATGTGTGAAATAGGGCGAGCAAGTATGATCAAAATGCAACATCACAAGGATTAAAAATGTAGATATTCAGTTGTTAAACATTAGCAAGCAACCTAATTCAACAAAACAAAAACAAAAACAAATGATAAAGATTATGACGGAAAGGCCAACACAAATAAATGGAAAAAGTAAGAAAAAGGCAATAATTATAAAACGATGTGGGAAAACATTTTATGAGAAGAAAAACCGGAACAACAATAAGTATCACCATTTTACCAGACTCGGATTAGTTTAGAGCTTGATATCGAAAAAAGACTATAAAGAGCTTAATATAGTAAATATTAGATGATTAAGAGCTTGATTTTGGGAAAAGACACTTGTCTATTGTAGACCTCTATTATGTCTATGTATCATTAGGTTTTCTGTGTAGTTGTGCTGGTGTGTCATTACGGTATACAACACATCTACATCCAATTATTTGTTTTTCTCAGACTGAAGTCGTAATTTATATTGTTTAATTTTTAAAAGTTCTGTATAAAAAATCAGTATGCAGCAGTTTACCCTATGTTCAAATTAAAAACATATCTTGAATAACTGTCAAATGTGCCATTAAACCTTAGAAATATTTTGTGGATTTTGGCATTCATGCTTTATTACTTTCTCACTAGTTAATATCTTATTACTTTACTGGCCGAACATGCTTTCCCTTCCTTCTTATATACTGTCATCTCAAAACTTTTCGGATATCTGAAATTGTTGATCCCTTGTCAGAAATACACAGCAGCATGTCAACACCCGGGTTACTTAGGATAGAACATATCCATTCGTGCAGATTTGAGCTATAGAAAAAAAGAAAAGAAAAATATGTGCGTTTTTCAACAAATCATAGATGAATCTAAATGACGACAAAATTTTGAAAATAATTATAACATTGCCTTTAAATCTGCCTGTATAAGTTTTTTTTTTTCAATTTAAAGTTAATGCACGAGTACTTAATCATCATAAGGAAGTATTCAACCCATTTAACTCAGACGCATCCGATCTGTACCTTTTTCATTGGCTATATCATGTATAATGACATATATTTGTAGGAATTAATATAACAATACTTCCGACTTTTGGGTCATTTGATACAGTTTGTGTATGATGTCATTGTCGACTACAAAACAATGTCAGTTATTTACTTAATTTTAATACTTTGTTTTAGGTTGCACTTTGTAAATACAGCTGTTTTTCAAACCACGCCTCTTTTGGGGAGATATATAATATTCATAGATATGTTAATTTGTTAACGTACTGGTTCCCATTTATGATCTCTGTGTTTCATTTCATAGAGACATCACTTGGGAATGTAACCAGTATAGAAAAACATGGTAGCGCCTAAATTTTAATTCTTAGGAGGTCCAAAAATGGAGGTAAGGGTAGTATAGAATTTTAGTATAAGTTTAAACTCTTAGAAGTTCAGGGCATATAAATGTTGAAAATATGCCGCACAGCCCTATATTTTGACCTTTGAATAAAATAGTAGTGCATATAAACTTTCCGTTCTAGGATATTATTTTTCACGAAACTTCATAGTAAAAGTGTCACAGTTTTAGCCGCAAAGGGAGTTCCTATGGGAAATTGCATTGTCTATATTTACAGAATTGCAACCTATATAGGGTTAAAAATTAGAACATACAGAATTTCACAAAATCTTGTTTATCTCAGAGATTTTGAAGAATTTAACTCAAATATGAAGTTTTATAAATATTTCATGAAGATTGAGAAAATCCTGGGTCTAAACTATGATGAGTCAGCATAAATTCACAGTTTACAGTATGCATTGTTTACTTAAAGCCCTGAATTAAAAATAAATTCATAATATATGCCTATTTGTAATTTAAATTGTTTAGAAGTGCTTATATTTACTCTTCGCAGTCATTGCAACTCATTGATCCTTCTTAAATATTTTTGGTGGGGTACTTTTGTCCTGTCGATAAACCAAAAGTAAGCCGTAACACCTAAATGTACTTTTTTGTGACTGCGGCATAAAAAGTACAAGCTAGAATTACAAAAAGACCTCAATAAAACTTAAATAGTGTGTTCTATCCTAAATATGTACCAAATATTCCACATTGCTAGAAACAGGGAAAAAATTTAGCAAATGTGAGGCCCCAGGGGCAAAAAACAGAGAAAAATGCCTCCCCCTGGGTCATAAAACAGATAATTTAACTTCTAAATGCTATGATTTTATTATTTTAAAGGTCTTTTGTAAAGAAAACAATAACTGTGCTAGGAAGTTATGCAAAAATCAGATGTAAGCAGTCATTTCTATCAAACTTTTAGTGAATTTATGCACCAGACTGATATCTTCATAAATACACCTTTTGCAAATATGGCTTTGTTTAAACACTTCTAGTTCATATATTAACTAACTTATGTTAGATATATGGTTAGGGATGATACTGTTGTAACATGAATTCTAAACTGACCATTTGAGGCAGAAATTGTGAACTTTCATTGACAAATAGGCATACAGTAAGATGTGGACTGGAGACACAGGCAGGATTGGATACTTTGTATAATCTTGAATGTTGGAATGATTAACTACTAAACATTACATTTATAGTATTTTGAAATGCTTTCAATTTGTTATCAGAATATTTTCAAACAGGTTTTAGACAGTTTATGTCAGAAAACATGCACATAGGGTAAGCTGGCAATAATTAAAGTCTTGTTTTCAAATTCTTTAAAAAATTGAAACAGGGGTAGGGGTATACAATGTACTGTAAAGGGAAACTTAGAGTATATGCAGTGATTTCTTTAAGACTATAATTCTGATAAATAAGTATTGTTGCGAGAAAAAGTGTTTTTAGAGTGTTTTCTATTTGAATAAATGTTTGTATAGGTTGCACTTTGTAAATACAGCTGTTTTTCAAACCACGCCTCTTTTGGGGAGATATATAATATTCATAGATATGTTAATTTGTTAACGTACTGGTTCCCATTTATGATCTCTGTGTTTCATTTCATAGAGACATCACTTGGGAATGTAACCAGTATAGAAAAACATGGTAGCGCCTAAATTTTAATTCTTAGGAGGTCCAAAAATGGAGGTAAGGGTAGTATAGAATTTTAGTATAAGTTTAAACTCTTAGAAGTTCAGGGCATATAAATGTTGAAAATATGCCGCACAGCCCTATATTTTGACCTTTGAATAAAATAGTAGTGCATATAAACTTTCCGTTCTAGGATATTATTTTTCACGAAACTTCATAGTAAAAGTGTCACAGTTTTAGCCGCAAAGGGAGTTCCTATGGGAAATTGCATTGTCTATATTTACAGAATTGCAACCTATAGTGATAAAGGGAATAGTTTAAAAGGCCATACCAGTACAATATGTGAGGACGGAGAAAGGTATAGTTCTAACAATATAGTTTAAAGATACTACAATATTTTTAACCATCTCATTGAATTCAATATATCATTCAAGATTTGGATACAAAGCAACAGTATGACCGTTATAATACAATCAATGGTTAAGCTGTTTTAACACTATGACTTTTTTTTCTTTTTTGTAGTTTATTTATTTTCCTTACCAGACAGATCACAAATAAACACAATTAAACTTGAATAAACCAAAGACACAACACAGTGTTTTTAACAAGAAAGAACCTTTTCTGAGTACCAAGATATAAAGCAGCATGCCACTAACTGCACATACTAATACGAATGGCATTTTAATACTCTTTGATACCATCTTCATTGTGTTATACATGTATGTCAGGTTATATATAATTAGTTAAGGAGGTAATTAAGGGTTATCATTAGTCATAGAGCTAAATGAAATTTGTGGCGACATGATAACGTTTCTGAAAGATACATAAATACATAAAGTTGGTCTGATGTATCTGCACAGTACAAAATGAGTTTTAACGTAATAAACAGAAAAGTACTGCATAGAAACGAACATCATTCTTGTCTTATTTGTAATTGAATTATGTTTATGCATATATTTTTATTACTATAGGAACATAGAGTATTGTTGTTCGGACTATGAAGACATAAATGGTACATGTACAAGTAAGTGAATTTTTGTTAAGTTTAAATGAAAACTTAACAATAAATTACCCGTTTTTGTTATCTCTGAGGAAATGGAGATAACGACCAACTGGGAGCAAAATAAAAAAGGAAAAAACTAATTTTCCTCTTTTTTCCCTCTAATTTCTGACAAGTGCAATTAGGGGCTAAATTTGGACCAAAATGTAATAAATTTATTCTATAACCCATGTATTTGAGTAAAAAAGGTGAAAAACGAAGACAATTCTGTTATATTAGTATTTATTTGTTACATTTCAAAATAAATTTATACTGAATTCTACACTTAGCTGGAAATTTTTAGTCAACTCTCTGTAAAGGATGCAACATAGAATAAATTTATTCTAAATGCATGGTGCTTTCTGTATATGATAATTTATAAAATAAATTTATTTTATAGAGCCCTTATATCTATTATTAGTTCGAGAAAAACAGAATAAGTTTATTCTACATTTAATGTGATGCATGACTATATAAAATAAATTTATTTTGAAAGTAAAGTTATCTGTATGGTGAGGCTAAAATACAGAATAAATTTATTCTACATTCAATGTTATTTATGATTATAATAATATATGAAATAAATTTATTTTATAGAGCCTTAACATCTATTATAAGTTCGAGAAAAACATAGAATAAATTTATTCTACATTCAATGTGATGTATGATTATAATAATATACAAAATAAATTTATTTTGAAAGTCCAGTAATCTATATGGTGAGGCTGAGACACAGAACAAATTTATTCTACACTCTAAGTGACTTAAAATTTATGATTATAATAATATGTAGAATAAATTTATTTTGAAAGTAAAGTTATCTGTATGGTGAGGCTGATACACAGAATAAATTTATTCTACATTCAATGCGATTTTTGTTTTATATAATAATATATAAAATAAATTTATTATGAAAGTACAGTAATTATGTTAAGGTTAAGACACAGAATAAATTCATTCTACATTGAAATTGCTTTATGATTATTATGACATAAAAGAAATAAACTTTATTTTGAAAATCCTTTGAAATGTTTTTTGCCACATAGGATGTTTTAATAATTGTGAATTTTTATAATATTAAATATATTCACAAAATAATTAAATAAGTACATTTAGGAAACAGAAAATAATTACTCCATCAATGTTTCAACCACGATAAAAAAAAAACAGGATGATAAAGTCATTTATAAAAGTACTCGACATGATTAAACTTTAAGAAATTTTAAAGAAAATTCCAACGGTCTTATTCATTACAGTCATGACAGTCAAACTGATAAAGAATGTTTTGTTCATGAATTATACCTTTTTCCTCTGTCAGTTTTAATACTATTACATATTCCAAAATTATTGCAATTATGATTATGTCCAATTTATCTTATCACAAATATTCTAGTGGAACAGTTCAGAAAGCATGTAAAACAAAAGTAATGCTACATGGCCAAAAATCAATTTCCTTATTGTTTCGATTTATCATGTGATGGCATACAAACATTTTAAAAAATACATCAATTTGAAAGTCATTTTTGTTTGCTTATATAATCCTGAACATTTTGTTTAATGTTTTGTCAATGGTCATCTGTTATAATAATTCTGGGGTTTTTTTCACACAAGTCTGTCTGCGTTATAATGTATTTGGTATCAATCGTTTGGACATCTGATCTTTTAATGATATAGCTGGAATTTTTAATCTTAAAACGTCTTAACTTTTCCAACAATTGTCTTTGTAAATGTCAGCTTTGTATCTTCTAATATTCCCAAATACATGTTTCCATTATTTCGTTCAACCAAAGCTATCTGAAAGATTAAATAATAAAAAAAAAACAGTTCATATAAAAAATAAATGGAAAATGTGTCTATGGGCCACAAATGCCCCCGCGAGTCAACTTCCCCAATAAGATAAAGGATTCACGTAGTTAAGACTGTTTTGTGATTATAACATTCGGTTGAGGCAAACTAAAGTTAGAGAACTGAAATGAATAATTCGGAGATTTTTATGTTTATGAAGGGGCATAACTCAATAAAAATAAAAGTGATGCGAGTAAATGTCGAGCCTGCCTTGTTTTTGTGGTAATAAGCATTGTGTATGAGTTTTTTAACATTTGGTTGAGGCAAACTAAAGTTAGAGAACGGAAACGAAAAATTCAGCAATGTTTTATGTTTATAAAGGGGCTTAACTCAAGAACGATAGAAGTGACGCTACCCAATTTCTATCTTGATCTGTGTTTTATGGTAATACGTATGCATTGTGTAAACGAGTTAATATTTTTGCTTGAGGCAAACTAAAATAAGAGAACAGAAGCGAAAAATCCAGTAATTTTTATGTTTATAAAGGGGCATAACTCAAGAATGGTAAAAGTAACGCCTCCCAATTTCGAGCTTGATATGTATTATGTGGTAATAAGCATTGTGTATAAGTTTTATATCATTTGGTTTAGATAAACTAAAGTTGGAGAACAACCAAGTTTGGGAACGTTCGGGATGGACGGACGGGACATACAGACATGGGTTAAACTTGATGCCCCCACATATTTGAATCAATATCAGTAATAATTTTCCGAGTATAAAAGTGATATAATCCACTTTTCAAAGAAAACATGAACTCGATATCACGTTACAAACTGTACATCTGTCCCTTTTTTTACGTTGCCTTAACTGAAAAAGCTGTTTTATGCTGATAAATTTATATTTCAACTCTGTCATCTTTCTAAAAGGAATCTTGTATATTCACCAAACAACAATCTATTAATCAATAAACGATTCCAATCACCTTACTTGTAGCTATCATACTGCATATGACAATTTTCCAATGATGCATTTTTTCAAGATCATAAGTATTGCCTTTTGATACAATTAAATTAACCCCTTGTCATTCTCAAAAACATGAAATAAAATTGCCAAACTACTCTTTGCAATAATCTTAGGATACGAACAAATTCTTTTATTAAACATTATGAGTTAATTTGTAATATTGATGTGCTAGTCATCAAACATGACCATATTGACAGATCCTGGTTTAAAAAGACAATATCAGAGTTAGAAGGTTGATGGAGATAATACAACATATCTCTTTATTATCCTCATTCTGATAGTTTTCCTTGAATGATTCTTGCTCTTCATTATGTTCTGTACTAGTCTTTGTTTTCTATAAATAATTAAATGTATAAATCAATAAGCATAACTTTAATTTTCTGAAAACTATATCACATTCAAGGTGCCCAAGGGCAAATAGTCCTGCAAAGATGTGGAATGCTCATGCTAAGCATACCCACTTGTAACGAAAAGTGTGAGAAAATAGGAAGTAGATGTCCATAAAAGTAATCACACTTTCCAATTCATCCCCGTCAAAATCTTGACCAATTATGACGTCATTTTGCCAAGTAGTTTCTGAGAAAAATGTAATGAAAATGGTTGTTGAAAGAAGAGATGGATGGAAGAACAGACAACAATACAGACGAGGTGATTGCTGTGCTAGGAGTGTAGGAGCAGATTTAGAAGTCTTATATTTGTTTTTGTTCTTTTAAATCTTTTCATAAATGTCATACAACTTTCCCTAAAATTTACATTTTAAAGTGGCTTAACTCCCGATCATAAAAAGTTGACTCAGATTGCACAATGCACCCTTTTTGTGCATATAGAAATTGTTGCAAGAACAAAATGGGATACTAGTATTAAGTGGCATTTCATCATAAGCAAATTAAATGGGTGTGTAGAAAAATTTGCCCTAAGCATATTAAAATTGCGTCAAATATGACTGTTTCAATAGCGTCAGATAACTTTTGAATTATTTAAGAAGTTGAATATTATAAGTAGTGACGATGGGCAGATGGGTATAAAAGTTAATAAGCAATGATTTTCAAACTAATTCAACTTCTTTCTGATATCAGCATTTTACATAAATGTCATATTAGTCTGTGGTTCTCCTTAAACTGATCCAAACTCAAACTTTAACATGCTACACATGTAATAGCTTTATACTTAATGAATCATGGTTGAGGTGGACCCATATAATCTCCAGAGAAATGAGAAGTGCAAATTCTAATAAAGCTATAGATACCAAATATCATTGTATTACCAATAATGGTTCATCTTAAACTAACCTTATCAAAAACTTTAACATGTAAAGTAAGCAAATGTTTCAGAGAGAATAGACGATGAAGGAGCAGCCGGATCTAATCGCCGTAGAAATTAGATATGCAAATGATTGTACAACTGCACACCACATATCAAGCCCCTCGCTCTAATATTCATAGTATATTCCTTTTCATAGACTAACCGATACATTGCACGCATTTTTAACATAATGACTTCTAATACACTAATTACAATTAAGGCCGACCTTTTGTCAAAACATGAGTGGGCGTATTGCGTTTCAAAGTTCCAATACTAAGTTTCCGAAAACTTAAAGTATACGTTTCCAGAATTTGTATTTATTACTTTTCCGGAATTTTACCTGGAATTAAATCATAAATATTTGAATATATGTAAGTTAATTATTTATTGTACACTTTTATACAAAAACGTTTCTGATATTAAATCTACAATATATAAGATATTACCAGTTGACTACGACTACAAGGAAAAAAATTCGGATTTTGGAAAAAATGGCCGACACATTTCTTTGGTTTGGCTTACTTGCCAAACAATAATATTGAAGAATGATTTGTAGAATTAATAACAGACGCTCCATCTGACGATAAATGCATGAAGTTTGCAGATTACATATTGGAATTTTATATAGATGGCAACTCGAGATTTCCACCAACCAATGGTTCCGAGTATTTTAATTTCCACTTAAACGAGCAGTTTTACGCTAGACATCCTAACCTTTTAGTCTTTGTCGATGTGCTATCAAAACTGCAAACAACATCATCGTAAAAATGAGAACTTAATCTATTAAAGCATCCGTTCGAAAATATGAAAAGGAGAAGATGGACTTCCTTGTTGAAAAAAACCCACAAAACTTTTAAATGGTGAATGTACTACTGTGGACTTTGTACGACGTGTTGGCTACAATTTTCTAAGGTACAGTCTTCAGGGTCGGATCCAGGGATATTGAAAGAGGGGGGGGGGGTAATCGATAAAACTGAGTCTATAATGGCGAGTAGAGAGTTTCTATATTTAAATTGAAATATAATATATTCTCCAATCAAGAGGTGGGTGTCACTGCTCTATCATGTATCTAAATGTTATATTCAAAGTTGTTCTCGTTTATTATACAGTGATCGATATTAATCTATGTAGTGCAATCGTAAAAACTTATGCAAATTGATATTCGCAGATGCGGATCGATCGAGGATTTCAAAAGCGGCACGAGCAGGGCAACACTAGAGGTGAGACTTGTAAAACGTTTAGTATGTATTAAGCATAAATGTCGCTCCATGAGGGGATCCCAGTATCCTTGACCCCCACCCCTAATCCCACCTCTAATTTACTGAGAAAACTAACCTCCAATTTCTTGAACTGTGATGAATGTTGCATATATACGAAACTGGAAGACAGTTCAAGTCTATTTTCAACTTCCCTCCTTCTAATATCCACTTGTCTGTCATCTTCGTTGCACGTACATAGAGAATAATACCAAGTAATCATACATATACAAAAGTTTTGATCCGTGTCGTCTTGTAATTAATTATCTTGTGTTTCCATTTGAAGTCTTCTCGACATGTGGTAACACTAGGGGGCCTACAATCAACGTACGCGTGCATTACATAAAATTGATAAAAGGCTTTTAAGCCGCGATTTGTTTGGTGTAATTAGTAATATTTTAACAACTTCTGATAGATATGTGACACTAGTTTGATAACATAAATTAAAAAATCGAATGTTGTAAATTATTTGAATCTGTGTCAATTCATAGAGGTTATTAATGTGTTTTCATTTTATATCCTTCAAATAACATAATATGCTTATAAACTTGGACAACTACAAAAGTATAAGGGTCTGGATAGATGGTCATGACTCAATCGATTTTGTATTCTTTAATTTTTTTGAAACATTTTTTTTCTATTCTTTATAATTTTTCTCATTATTCTCTATTTGATCACCCTTTTATTTTCTATTCTTTATATTTTTGGTCTTTTTTTCTCTTTATGTTATATGTTTTGTTCGTTATTCTGCGTTTCCCCCATAATTCTATATTCTGTAAACTCCACCCAGACCCTCAAGTATTATTCACGATAAATAGGCGATTGGGCATGGGTACCCTTTTTTCTCACCCTTTCTTCTATTTGTTTTAAAAGATTTGTAATAAATTCATGATTTTTGTTTAACTTATCTTCATTTGTGTTTGCTTTCGTAATTTAACTACAATTTTACAATTTAAACACTAGTTTATACGTGCTGTCTTTAGTCCGGATTAAATAGATAAAAAAATATTGAAATGTTAAAATAAATGTTCATACAAGAAAGAAAAAAAGAGGGTCTATGTTCAAAGCTCTTACTAGTTATTCCTAGTATAGCTATTCCATGTTACGGCATATCTGTTTCTTTTACATGCAGGATATATATGCATGCATGATACAAAAAATGCATTTAAAATAAAAAAGAATAATACAGCATCAAAGAATTGTCCAAGAAAGGAACGGAAAGTAAAACATTTTAACAGAACACAAACCGGTGTTACAAGTACAAAGGTCTCGTCACAAATTACTTGTAAAAAGTATTGAAATGATACGATATTATAGGGAAGATGCTTGTTGGAAAACTGGAAAGCCTGCATCTGGGACAGGATAGTGCTTTAGTGCCCGGGCAAACATGTCTCTAGTTTTTATTTTTTACCTATGAATTTCCTGGATAGTTAAAAGTCGGGCAAATGATTTATGGATTCAATGTACACATTTGATTCCTTAAGAAGATTATGAATTTATCATTTCTTTGGTTTCAATGAAATTGTCAAATGATTCTGATTTTTAATTTAACTGAATGTCAAATGATTTGAAACACATAGAAAAGAAGAGAAAAGGGGAAAGTACAGGTAAGCTGACCCTAAAGTAAGATTGTGTTTATAATAGCAAACATGTCATATTTTTTTTTCTAATTGGGAAAAAAATAATTAAACAGAATAAACTAAAAAGGGGGTTTATACTCTAAGCTTGGTATACTATTTCCAGCTCGAGATTTCCAGTGCAGTCATCAGTGCATGTTCACAGATCGTAGTTGTAGTAGAACTTTCAAATCATGCAGCAACGAAAATTCGCTTTGTCCGTTTTCCAAGACTTATTTTTACGCATTTTGCCTCCAATGATACAGGTAAAGGTAAGGGGGGTAAACACCAATTCTGGTGTGCTTTTACACTTTATTCCTCTCAGTTTACATGCCACGCTATTGCCAAGTTATGAAGTCCGTCCTAATGAGTATAGACATTTGTTTACAAAGCATGCAATACCATTCTCTCTTTTTCTCTTAAGTCGTCTTTTATTAGATATAAAAACACAAGCTCAAATTCTCAAAACGTCCAACAATACGCGCATTTGCAATCCGAAACCTCATCCGGAATGCTTTACGATGATATTGATTATTTGTGCATGCGCAAACGGATTGTCGAACAAATAGAAATATTAACCTTTTTTTTCGGCTTGCCGATTCATATATATTTCTGATAGAACAAATCAAGTCCTTACTATAAAAATCCTTAAACAAATATATAAAATGGCAAAATTATAATTATCATGAATAAAGTAAGTTAGAACATGGAAGTATTATATTGACAGGAACTCCAACAAGCGGACTTCAAACGTTTATAGTGCGATGCCGCAAAATCGTTAAGTATCTGTTAATTAACTCGACTGTCTTATGGATGCATGGGTTCCGATAAAATTTTTGGAACCTCGTGAATGATCGTAATTTCGGAACATACCAAAATAACCGGATGTGTACTTAATTGTCAAGGAAATGACATTTACCGACCATGTGAATGACAAATATAATGTCAGTTTTTACGGGTTTTGCTGCTTAAAAACAAATAAAAAGAAAAGAAACGAAACGAAATCCCCGCGACTGTTTTCACCGATTAAAAAGACAAAAAAAAACAAAAAAACTGAAGAGTAAAAATACTCACAAGCCATAAACATTTCAGTTTAAGTTACAATTAATTTTAAAATAGTAAGATTTATTCATGAGAGTGCCGTTGGCTAAACACGCGTAACTGTTATATACAAGTTAGGCTTGAAAATCATAAAATTCTCATGTAAAGTAAACGGAAAAGTTTTTATCAGTAATTATTATCGCGTTTTACTGCTAACTTTGACAAATATTTTACTGAAGTGTTTAATGAAAGAATTTCCAACAAAAATTTAATCCAAAAGTTTGCCGGGGGGGGGGGGGGGGGGGGGGAGGGACGGGGTTAAAGAGCTTTGATCCGAAAAAATATCAAATATTTTGATTTATTGTTTACTGAAAGTCCAATGGCAAATATTTCATGCAATTAAACAAGAAACAAAATCATAAATTGCTTAGCACACGGTGTAAGATGTTTCAGAACTGTTAAGCTTTTAAACACATAAATAAATTCTAATTTGGTTTCCATGATAACAAAACAATAAACTGCTTAGGACCCATCATGGTGATCGTTCTTTAAATGCATCCAGAAATATTTAAATCCATCCGTAAAAATAAATCTGTCAGACGTCAGAGTAATCTCGGACTAGGTTGAATGTTTAAGGTTGTTTACAACTTTGGAATTATTATAAAAGGTGTAACAATTCATCTGCATGTCTCGTAACCTGATATTGCTATGTAGAGGTCATCACATGCGTGTAATTATTAACCTCTTTTAGTCTTTAAAACATATTTGATAAATAAGTTAATAACATTTTACGATATTTTACGATAGAGAAAACCATAAATATTTGTGTTACACTCGATAAAAGTTTACAATCTTTAATTTAAAATTTGAGTTATCCGGCACCATCCGGCACACTACACGCGCATCACATTATTTTTTGCAAACACTCTACTTCAGAATCATGTAATTTTCCCAATCGGATATTTCCCGATTTCCAAGTTCCAATGATTAAAACATACTCAACAAAACTAAAAATAAGCTTGCCCTCTTTCCGAATGCAGTTAATTTTGTTATGTCATTCTGTTAACTATGGACCGATTTTTTCGATCTTTTCAGCTTTGTTCTTCATTTATTGAACGGAAACAGGTGTTGTTATTCATGTGGCGATTCACAAATAACAGCGGGAGTTTCCGTGTTTATTTAGATTGGTAGGTAGATAAAGACAATCGATACCAAATCACGTGATAAGACCAGCTAAAAGAACAGGCGAAGGCGGCATCACAGATACCCCACAAAGGAGTTATCACGTACTTGACAAACTGAGTCGGAACCTTTTATTTTCTTAAAGAAATCAGTGGGATGGGTATGTGCTAATTTTTCGTTGGAGTTCCTGTCAATATAATACTTCCATGGTTAGAACAAAAGATGCGTGAAAAAATCCTGTCTATACCTGAGGGTGAGGATAGTGGTTTACAGAATAGAGAATAATGGACAAAAAATATGAAGAATAGAGAAAAATTGTCTAAAAATTGAAGAATACAGAAATGAAGGAACCATCCAGACCCTCGTACTTGTGAGAACGTAGGTTGGGGCCTTGCCCTCCATTTATTCAAATTAAGGCTTTATTTTGCTTATGAAACATTATGATTAGAAATGGTTGGTTTTGTTTTCAATCGATCTCCAAACCCTTGAGTCTGGGTGCTAAAACGAAAATATTGATTGATTGGTGTTCAACGCAACTTTCAGCCCTATTGATTATTTCGTGGCGATCAGTCTGTAATGGTGGAGGAACCCGGAGTGCCAAGAGAGAATCTACGAATTTTGGTGTGACAACTGATAATCATAGTCAATTAAGATTGTAGTTGAACGCACCTGCCATGTGCGGGGTTTGAATTCACAACTTCAGGCCCCTAAAAACGAAAAGATGAAGAAACCAAAAATCGCGTCCATATGTTTAAAATGTACACTGTAAATAAAATCTTTAACGTAATAAAGAATAGTTTTCACTATGTATATATAATCATTATAAATACTATTTTTAAGTAAATATTATATATAGATATATAAAAATTATATTTTTTCAAATTAATCAAAAGTGCATTAATTGTAATAGAAATTTTAACAATTTAAAAAAAATTAAAAAGAATTTTGAGGCTAGAAAACATATAGGCGAAACAAAATTGTGGATATGTTTTTTTGGTATCCCATTCTCTTCAAAGTAAATGATAAATCTGTACATGCTTTATCTCCAGACCGGCGTAACTTGACTCTTACATAGTATTCTAAGTGAGGCAAAAGAGGACACGGCATCAGAGAGGACTAAGGATACTACGGGGGGTAATTCAATAGCGAAACCGCGACTAAAAAAGTTTTCAGCATTTTAAGACAAGAAAGACGATTTTTTAGTTTGCTGAACGTGTAGCGGCTAAAATTACGTGCATATCCAGGACTATAGAAAAAAATTATCAATACATCCAGTAGATAGGTTCGTAGTGAAATG